ATACTTAGGTATATCGTTGTTTCAATTTTTTCCGCTGCCTAGTTTTAGAGTGTATTTGATGCGTAGAAACCCAACATATATGTAACACATCATTTCCTAAGTTGTCTACAACCATCACAGTTTCATATATTCCATTACAAGGAAATGCTTCAAAATAGAAAATACCATTCAAGAAAGCATTAATAGAACCATTTTTCATTATTAATCGAAAATCTAAAACCTTGTTTATACAAACCATGAAAAGAAATAATGTTTCGTGTCAATTCTATCAAATAGAAACAATTATTCAAATATAGACCTAACTCAATAGTAATCACTAAAGAGTAAACTCCAATCTTGGTGACCGACGATGCTTTCCTATTCCCCATGATCAAGTTTATCTTCCCATGCTCCACATCCCTACTTCTTCTTAGACCCTGCAAATCAGAACAAATGTGAAAACCAAATCCTATATCGAGGATCCAAGATATAGCATGTGATGAGTTATTAGATTGAATAGTATAAATACCTGCAAAGGATGGATTTATCTTCCCATCCTTGATGTCCTATAGGTACTTCGGGCAGCTTCGTTTCTAATGCCCTTTCTTATGGCAGTAGTAGCATTCTGCTTCCTTCGGGTTGGAAGAGGGAGTAGCAGGAGCATATTTGGTTCCACTAGAAGAGGTACCATCATGAGACTTTCCCTTGTGGCTCTTAGAAGGAGTCTTCCTATTCTTTCCCTTTCCTTTCCCAATCGAGTGACCTCCTCCTTGTTCATGTGGTAGGTCATATGAAACTAGTCGTAGCAAGGAGGTAAGGAGTGTAGAATAATATCTATGGCCAACTCCTCATCGAAGTTAACATTTAACTTCAACAAACGGTCCACGTATCTAGCGATGCAAATGGGTGTAGATACTGGCGGATACTGCCATACCCATCCCCGTACCCGACTTCTGATACCCACACCCATCCCCGCCCCAGCCCCGCCAAATGCCTGACGGATTTGGGTGAAAAAATCCCCGTCAGATTCGGGGAACCCGATGGATACCCGTTTAGTAATAAGTATTATTAAAAAAAAACATAAAATATAAAAAAGACAACAATATTTACAACAATCACTTTAATGTGGTATATGAAAATATGAAATTGTTTAAAATATGAAAATATGAACTTTTTTAGTAAATAAACAATTTAAAAAAACAGATTCTTAAGTAAAAGTTTTGACACTCCACTTTCACCATTTGAAATTGATGTGTAGTAATTTCATTATTTGTTGCAGTTTGCTTAGTAAATCTAAGAGCCACATTGCCACACGCATGCTAAACTCTTCAATACCCCATGCCTCGGTTACTTAAGATGCATTTAATAAAAGCGATTTATATATATATATATATATATATATATATATATATATATATATATATACCGGGTCTTTAACGGGTCGGATAATAGTATATCCGTCCCTGCCCCATCCTTGCTTCGGGTAAGAAATCGAATACCCGTCCCCGACCCGTTACCCGATAAGATGGGGAATACCCGATTTGTTAGGGTCGGGTCCCCACGGGTTGCGGGGAATACACGATCTGCTTGCATCCCTACACGTATCTCTTCATTTTCTGCAAGTGGGTTGTGATGGAATCTCCATCCTTCATTTTGGTAGGGATCATCGTAGTGATGATCTCATACCATTCCTGCCTAGCACTTTGATGGTACCTTTCCATCAAATTTTGGTGCATCTCGTAGGGATAGTAGTCCTCATAGGACTTTTGGAGTTCCGAATTCATCGTTGCGAGCATGACGCAATGAACCTTTGTAGCATATCGCTCATGAGTCTTGTAAGCAACGATTTCTTCGGGAGTGGTAGTGTTCACATTGACCTCTTTTAGCTCCTTGTCGAGAACATACTCTTTGTCCTCGTAACAGGTGAGCGTGTGAATGTTGCGGATCCAATCATTATATATATATATATATATATATATATATATATATATATATATATATATATATATATATATATTTGACGGATGAGAACTAGGATTCTCATATGTATATATCTCCTGTAACGTTCAAGTATTTGTTTATATGTAGAAGATGATAGCTAGGAAGGAAAACGACATACCCACTTTTGTAATCGACACTTACATTGGGTTTTTGGCTAGAAAATTCAGTTCGGCCCATTTTTTATATATGGTATTTTCAGGAAAGATCCCTGCTAGGGCTCTGTCCCTTGGACACCTATAGGGGTTTTTCCCCTAGACACCTGTAGGGTGATGCCCCTTAAAACCCCACCATGGGAGTTGCCGGTGGGCCCCTGTGTTCTTGATTCCTTTTAGCTATTTGAGTGTGCACTCAAAACTCCTACTTTAGAATATAACTAAATGGAACTCAGCCATTCTCGAATAAAATCCTTTTAACACTAAATGTATTGATAAGTGATGACACTAAAATCATTAACAACTCACTGATATGAAATTATTTCCTTTGCCTTAACAATTGTACTGACAATGATCCCAAGATTAAAACGGAATTTCCTAATCTAAAAATACCTCACAATATATATATATATATATATATATATATATATATATATATATATATATATATATATATATATATATATATATATATATATATGTTATTTTGTTTTTACCAACTATTGCGTGCCAGAATGTACAGATCTGGACCACGAGATGGAACAAAATCAAAAGTTATGATTTGAGGGTCTATGATATTAGAATAGGGTAACATGTACCATATAATCACACAAATTTCAGCATAAAAGCATTTTAGTCAACTGAGACAAATTTAAAAAATGAAAAATCGAGATTTATGTGATAATTAATGATTTTGATTTAAAAAATCTGATTTTTTTTTTCAAATTAATTCAAATTCAAACGTAATTTGTAAGCATAAACCGATTTTATTCTATAAGAATGTTATTTTGTTAGAATAATGTTATGTAATTCCGTCAGAATGATATACAACTATGAACATAATATTATAAACGCATATTATCAAGACCAATAATTTTTAATGAATACAAATTTTATACAAGATGAAGTTTAATAGTTTAGAATAAGTAATTACATTCATTCTTAAAAAATACAACTAAGAACATAAATTACATTCATTCTTGAAATCTCTTATATATATATATATATATATATATATATATATATATATATATATATATATATATATATATATATATATAATATATATATATATATATATATATATATATATCGGCATTCTTGAAAGAATCCTCATTCACTTTCTTGTTTCATTCCTAGATGTCTTGTGTGTGTTTGACCTCTAAGCCACTTCAAAATATGCTAGCATTCTATGAGATTGACATTTTGTGAGATTGTCATTCTGTCAGAATTGTATTCTATGAGAATGATTTTATACATGGAGCTGCAAAAGGAGATAAACTCGAGGATGGTAAGTGATCCCTAGGTAAAACTTGAAACATCTGAAAAACATAAGAAACAAATATCATGTTAAAACATCAACCAATTACAATATAACCCTTGGAAAATAATTCTTATGTGATTCTACCATAATCATTCTTATGTGATTATACTGGAAATACAATTCTAGCAGAATCATTCTTATGTGATTCTCCAAGATTATAATACTCTCTACACATTATTCAAATAGAAGAATACACTAAATACAAAGTATTCTTAAAGAATGAAATATGTATTCTTAAAGAATGAAACAATTGTAGATAAGAATAAACACCCAATGATGAGGGAAAAAAGTCATTCTCACAGAATTAAGTTAATTATCTTAAAGGGAATACATTATAGAATGCATTCAAATTTCACAAAAATAAACCCATTTTAAAATACAGAAAGAAAAGCCTAGAGCAGGGCCAAAATGTTCTCTAGAAACTATACCTTCAAGAATGCAAACCCCAACTCTAATCGTCCAACCAGCACCTGATATATTTCATAATCGAAAAATGATTTCCTCTCTTTCAATATTGAAAGAAAATGAGAGGAATTCTAAATTTAAAGTATGATAGAATAATATAATTATATGTTTTGATTTTGTTTACCTTTGGAGATGAGATGCAAAACAATAAATATTCCATCACTAACCATGAATACAATATGAGACTGCTATATTTCTCTTTGCATTTTATCAAACACTTTAAGGACGCTCCCTAAATCACCACATTTTCTATGAATCATGGATGAAAAAAATTCAAATTCAAAACCATCAACATCAAATTCATATGAACAACAAAATATTTCAACACCATTACAAAAATCTAAAACTAAAAGCTGAAATTGTAGAAATTATCTAGTTGGAAGAAAGAAGAAACAAACCTATTTTCTATTGAATGGAATTGCAAGTTTGGTTAATTAAACTCGGAGAACGTGGCCATTTTGTTATGGAATTGAGTTGATTGGAGATAGAAGCTAGCTTCGATTGGAGATGGAGTCGCCGAGAATAACATCTTCATTTTGTCTGGTCAGTACCATATGTATAAATCGGTGGGAGTGATAGATATTAAATATTACAGTCTTCTTAATCAACGAAATGGGAAAACAAATTTGCAGCAAGAGGTTTCGACTACCTCTTTTGATCAGACGATGTTCATTCATCAATAAGAAAATGGGAGGAGGCAGAAATAGAATACGTATGATATAGATTTTTATGGTTAAAGAGATTTTTATGGTAATTTCCATGAAATAAGGGATTTTATTTTCATTATCATGCTAAAGTTACATAATTACCCTTATAAGAAAATATAACTAAATAAAATCACAAAATACAACATAAAATAGATTTGGATGCATACATGTAGTCATATACTACCCCAAAAGTTTGGCAGAATGACTCAGTTTCAACAAACAAACATGTTTGACTCACCATAACACACAACAATAGTTTGACTCAACATAAAACACAACAATTTCATCACAACAAACAACAACATTTTGACTAACCAATAACCATGCACACAACACTATAAGGATATAACAAAATTAATGGATCCAAATCTTCTAATCCTCTTTCAGAATATCATCGTTCGATGAAACACTTGACTCATGCACACTATCTGAATCCCAACAAAGCAGAACAATCCCGTCTCTTAAAGCTGCAATATTAAGTATATAGTTATATTATAAAAGAGAAAATATGAAGATTAGTTAATAATCAAGGCAACATAATGTAATTTACCTATCTCATATGCCTCTTCAGCTAATTTTAGCATTGCCATACTCTCTTCAACAAGGTTCTGCAAACGATCTAGCTTTTTACATGCTTCGATTGCTTTACGCTGTGTGTCTTCAGCCACAGCAACTCGATAGGCAGCATACGATGCCAAATCTTCCTCTGTTTCTTCAGAATTGTTGTTGACTTCTCGTTGCTCATCATTGTTGTTCTTATGATCCACTGGCACATCATGTTTGATCTTGTAAAGATTACCATTCTGCATATTTATTTGTACCATTGTTATCGAAGATATTGAGTAGATATGGACAAAATAGTTCAACATTGATCAAACTTGACTGTCCGAAAGTTAGGCCCTAGCCGAACACCTTTAAAAAGCTTACCATTTAAAGATTACCATTCTGCATTCTACATATTTACATTCTTATATGAATATAGATTCCCAAATCATTAGACGAACACATTTAAAAAGCTTGGTATGGATTCATGAATAGAACTACTCACCCTCTCAATTTTCCCATGTGTCGCCATTCTCCTGAGCTTTGTTGTCAAATAAGTACTAAAAATTTCTGGCAACTTTTTATCAGACTTTTGCTGCAAAATGTGAAAATAGAATGAAATTAATTCTAAAAGATATCATCGTTTACCTGTTTTTATTAATAGACTAACCAAAAGTTTTTAAACCAAACAATCTACTTATTTGAATAAGCATATAAAAGTTTCACAAAGACATAATCTATAACTATAAGGAATAAGAAACACTCAAGCATCTATATCTTTATAATTTGTGAGATTTCTTGCATTAATGTTCTTCTGTATGGTTAAGAAAGAACATTAACAAGAAGGAAAATCAATAAATTACTTTAACATATGTAAACAAAAGAAAACTGTTGATCTATAGATTAAACCTCAATATAGGAATGAATTGAATCTATATCAATCCCATCTGGGTTCTGCACAGATGAAAGTGCTTGAAGAATCATATCATGGTACCTAATAGAATAGCAACATTAAGAAATTAAGAATCAACCAAAACATCGATGACATCATGTCATAATTTTCATGATGAGAAAATATACGTACCAAGGTTCACTTTCCTTATAGTTATTATCTGATGAGCTTTGGGGAGCTGGCCAAGCACTGCTCGACACATGATAGCTAAGGTTACGCCATTTATCCTTCAAGTGTAGATGATAATTATTAAAATTAATACATATCATATGGAAATTAAGGCAATTTCATGTGTAATTTAGGAAAAAGATGTTCCTCCTCAATATTCACAACTCATGTCCGTACCCTATTCGATTTCTGTACGACAAGAACGTCATAATTCAACAATGATTGCAATACCTTAATTGTAAGTGTGGATTTAGATCTAAACTTGATTTGTATATCATGATATAAATAACTGTATTTATGGATGTAAACTCAATTTTCATCAACTTTTAGAGAATATAGCAACATATTTAGAGTTAGCTTTGTCTAACAAGTAAAATTACTGTATGGTATAAAAGATATTCAGATTGATCTCTACGACTATTAATGATGAACGTCCCATTGATTTTGTTCTCCAGCAAATCAGACATGAACATCCCATTGAATTTATCAAAGATAATTATATACATACATAATTAAACATAACATGAAGAAGAAATTAACCCGCAAGGATCTTCAAATCTCAAAGTGAAACAAGTACCTACATGCATTAATCGAAGAGTTTAAAATACCCGAATGGACAGATGTAATTTCATTCCTTTCGCCTTTTTTTAATAGTATATCAAAAGAATATATCAGTTCAAAAGTATATGCAAATCGTAATAAACAACCTTTTTTTTCTTGTAAGTGGTATATATAAAATCCATAACTATTTGTTTTAAAGATAAATTAATACTACTTGAGCTAAAGACCACGAGTCATGCAATCCATTGGAACCTTGGACATCTGCATCATACATATCTAATGAGAAACCCTAAATTTTACACATTAAACCAAATAATTTTTATGTTGCGAAATTTACACCAACATTGTTGTGTCTATATTACTTTAAGCTCGATAAGTATAGATCTGGTCATTTTATATATTAGAAGCTCAAGATCGGAAAATAAGAGTGTTGAGGTTAGCCAAAACACAACATTCGACTATATGGCTTTTCCTAGAAACCTCTTCGTGTGTGTCTTCACATGTATATATACCATGAAGGCATGCAAAGGATCAAAAATTAAACCGATTTGCATGAAAACCTCGCATAATCGAATCAATAAATAAAAATGAAAGGTTGTCAACTTGCAAACATATGATTGAAGCAAGAACAGATGGTACATTAGAAAGAATGAGGAGATATGAACCTTGAGATCAACATTGGATCGATTAACTAGGCGAGGAGCAAATTCTTCATCGGTGAGGATGGTCTTCCATTTTCCAGCACCGTGCTTGGCTACTCCAGCCAGGAGGGCCGATTCTTCCGCCAATGTCCACATCTTTCTTGGGGTCCCCATTCACTCGATCGATTGGCAGAGTTTTCTGAAGGGATTTAGTGTATATGAATTGAGAAAGAAGCGAAAATCCCTATGTGTGCAGACTGTGAGTAAATGGGAACAGTGTTCGAGGATTTTCGGTTTTATGTCTGCCGACTTTCACAACCCTACGACCAAGTGAAGTAGGTTTTTATATAATGTGGGTCCTTCGGCCCAAAATAAAAACAAAATATCTTTATCTATTTTATTTATATATAGTTTTTACTTTGTAACGAATAGTTTTGTTCATCTTTTGTAAATGGTTGACGGTTTAAGTTCTATGGCGGAGACAAAACAAATAATTTAGAAATAGGATTTAAAAAAGCATGTTTTATCTAAAAAAATCGGTGACAAATGAAAAAGGAAAAAACTAAGAAAACATTGACACAATAGAATGTAACAAAGAAACCAAACTATTTTTCAAATGTCTATGATGAGCTGGATTTTTTTTCTTAAAAAATTGAATTTCAAGTGGGTTTTAACAAAAGAAAAAGTAAAAACAAAATAAATTATTAGAGCTAAACTCAATTATTATGGTTTGGTTTTATCATAGACCGTGATTTTACTAGGAGAGATCATAAAATTGTTTGATTGTTTTGCAGATCCAACCCTAACATGACAAACTCTAAAATGTAATATCTTTCTATTAGAACTTTAGCTTTTATTTATTTATTGTTTTTTTGTAGCGATAAAATCCAGTTCTTTGAAAAATAGAATAACTAAATAGAAAATCTGTTAAATAATATACGATATTCACTATACAAATTAAATAGTTGTTATATATATATATATATATATATATATATATATATATATATATATATATATATATATATATATATATATATATATATATATATATATATATATATATATATATATATATATATATATAACTTTCGTGATTATTTAATGTTGTAGAAAATAGCGATCAATTGTTATTGAATTTCAAGTTAGAATTTTTTACTTTTTCGACTACATATATACTTTCATTTAGGTTGTTAATATATTATGTGCATGTTGGATATACTATATAGATTTTTTTTTTTTTTTTTTTTTCTATTTTAACATTGCTAGATAGATAAGTGTAATAATGTTTTTTGTTATAATTATTGATTGTAACATGATCTTTTGAAACCAAATCATGTATTTACCTAAGCTATGCCATCTCGGTTGATTATTGAATCAATCTTATATCCATCATAATATTGTATCAAAGCTTTAGATACTCATTTTCCTTTTGTGTTATCATCAATCACTCTTAAAACTGCAATATCGTGATTTCAATGTTCTTTCATCCTTCGACTACGAGCATATTTTCATATAAAACCACCATATTTATAATGCTAAAGAGCATTCAACTCTGTCAATTTTAGTGTACCTCTACATGTATGATACATCACTTGTATGGGCAGTTCGTAATAATATTTTAAAACATTAAAAACCATTTTCAGTAAGATTGTGTACGTAAAACATCCCAAAACAACACATCTTTTAACAAATTTAAAATTTGAATGTTAAAAGTATACCAAAGATTAACAATTTAATGAGAGATAGAGGTAAATCGCTAATTAGAATTTCAAACATAACAATAAGGTCTTCTACATATCATCATGTTCCAAAATCTTCAAGTCATCAAATGTAACTCTGAATCTGAGTACATGTCAAAATTGCTCATCATTGTTGTTGTCATGATCCACTGGCACATCATGTTTGATCTTGTAAAGATTACCATTGATATCGAAGATCTTGAGTAGATATGGACAAAATAGTTCAACATTGTCAAACTTGACTGTCCGAAAATTAGGTCATAGAGTGTTTTCAATTTTTATAATTTTTTTTCAGGACATAACTATTGTTTTTAAGTCGGTCTTTGTTCATTTTGATGGATAAATTAAAATTTTAATCATTCCTATAAAAAAACATTATATGATCATTCAATGTTTCAATAAATTAAAAAACCTCCAACAACATATTAACTTTTAATATAACTTACACTTTCCAATTCTAAACATTTTTTCGTTGTTGGGACTTGTTAGGATAGTAACTTAGTAACTTATATTAAAAGTATATAGTTGTATATTATATTTAAAGTTTTATCGTTATCATTTTAATTACCATTATTTATATAAATTAAAAGGTGTTTTACAATAATTATGAAAATCTTATATTTTTTCGAAAAAAGATATATATATATATATATATATATATATATATATATATATATATATATATATATATATATATATATATATATATATATATATATATATATAAAAGAGAGAGAGGGTTTAGTTGTTTTGAGAATCACAACTATTATTTGAAGGTAACAACGATTTAAAGCGTCAGATCAAACGAGTTAATGGTTCTAATGAGAATCACAATCAATTCTTATCCATAATTAAATACTTTTAATTTTGGAAAGTTTGAAATACTAAAGATTCAATAAGAATCATTGATATTTTAAACCTAACACTCCAAAATTGTTCTTTACATTCTCATATGAATATAGATTCCCAAATCATAGGTTGAACGCATTTAAAAAGCTTGGTATGCATTCATGAATAGAACTCCTGGCTTTGTTGTCAAATAGGTACTAAAAATTTCTGGCAACTTTTTATCAGACTTTTGCTGCAACATGTGAAAACAGAATGAAATTAAATCTAAAAAATATCATCGTTTATCTGTTTTTATTAATAGACTAACCAAAAGTTTTTAAACCAAACAATCTACTTATTTGAATAAGCATATAAAAGGTTCACAAAGACATAATCTATAACTATAAGGAATAAGAAACATTCAAGCATCTATATCTTTAGAATTTGTGAGATTTCTTGCATTAATGCTCTAGTATATGGTTAAGAAAGAACATTAACAAGAAAGAAAATCAATAAATTACTTTAACATATGGAAACAAAAGAAAACTATTGATCTATAGATTAAACCTCAATATAGGAATGAATTGAATTTATATCAATCCCATCTGGGTTCTCCACAGATGAAAGTGCTTCAAGAATCATATCATGGTACCTAACAGAATAGCAACATTAAGAAACTAAAAATCCACCAAAACATCGATGACAATATGTTATAATTTTCATGATGAGAAAATATACGTACCAATGCTCACTTTCCTTATAGTTATTATCTGATGAGCTTTCGGGAGCTGGCCAAACACTGCTTGACACATCATTTATCCTGCAAGTGTAGATAATAATTATTAAAACTAATACATATTATATGGAAATTAAGGCAATTTCATGTGTAATTTAGGAAAAAAGATGTTCCCATTTATCCCACACTGCTTAACATACAGACCATTGATTTTTCACTTATATAATATAATTAATTTGCTTCTCTTATCCTTCAATCTTATACTATAATGTGGCTTTTAAATTAGAGTAAATTACACGAATGATCCCTATGGTTTAGGGTAATTTGCGTGTTTGGTCCCTAACTTATTTTTTTAACTTGGAAGGTCCCTACTGTTTGTTTTTGTTACGCGCTTGGTCCCTATCTTACCTAAAAAAGACTATTATGCCCTTATTTTTTAATTTATTTAAATAAACACTCACCTAATCCCACCCCCTCACCTTACCTCACTTACCCCATCATTTTTTCCTCTTTAAATAATAGTTTTTTTTAGATAAGACAGGGATCATACGCGTAACAAAAATAAATAGTAGGGATCAAATGTGTAACAAAAACAAACCATAGGGACCTTCCGAGTTAAAAAAATAAGTTATGGACCAAACACGCAAATTACCCCAAACCATAGGGACCATTCGTGTAATTTACTCTTTAAATTATATTACTAATATTTTACTAGTGTTATACTCATCCGGCAGATATGTTGGCAATTGTAAAAACAATAGATTGATTTTACGATCTTCTACTCTATCGTTCTTTCATTTTCTCCCATATTAGCAATGTATAATGGCAAATCTATCAAATTATATTGCATATGAATGAATAAAAGAATAAAAATATATTAAAAAACAACCAAATGAAAGAATAACAATTGATTAAAACACAATCAAATAAAATCAAGTTCAAAATAGGAAAATATTACAAAAAATGTCAATGCTATTGTTTTGTTGCATCCCAAATTCATTCCTAACAAAGTAAATTGCTATCACAAAGTATATTGCTTTTAATTACCACCTACATCATATAATACCAAGGAGAAAAAAGTCTATCAGAAATAATTGATTTATAATATTTTCTATATCATAAGAAATGCTTCATAACTTACTTAACTATCTTTCCCATCGTTTGAGTCGTTCATAGAGTTATAATAAGCATCGACTCCACTATCGACACAAATAGTTTACATGTAAAAGTAAAAAACAACAACCGTAAGAAAATTACATAAGTTAAACTATATGTTAAAACATACATCCCTGATTCTGTAACCAAGGTTCACACTCTACCATGTCATGTATTTTAGTATACTGAAATGTCATCATTTTTGCACAATGGGATCAATTTCACAAGGGAAAAAGGCGTTAAAATAGTATTTCATACCATGTTCCTATTTTTTGGTTATTTTTTGGATTGACCCAACAAAATAAGGGTTGACCTTAGATGCAGAAACTCTTCTTCAAAGGCAGCCTTTTTGAGGTATAAAGTCGTCACCTTGTCATGTATTCATCTAGATCTCCTTAGTTGAAGTTTAAGCTTGATTTTGGGGGGTTTTGGTTGAGTTGTCCAAGAAGATGAGGATTTCAGGGGTTGATAAGTTAGATATGGCCCCTATTATTCAATAAAACCATTATTAAGTCATTTAATGAGCCTTAGAGTGTGTTCTATCATGCATGGACGTAAAAGTTGGAAACTTTATGTGTTTTAGGGCTTAATGGGTCAAGACCCTCTTTAAAGAACCTAGGGTTTGGGTTTAAAGCCGTTTGAATGGTTCTTGAATTTGGACTAATGGAAAGGATGCAAGCATTTCCGATCGATGTATTACTTGTACAACATGC